AACAAATTTTCTCATACCTTTCCTATAACTGAAAGAATAACTGATAATAAATTGTCCAACTTTAGTCTTATCAATATGGTAGATCTAGAAAGAATTGTTCTTCAAAAAATAAAAGTAGTCCTGATGAAATTTGTGTAGAACTTCTGGAAAAGTGTTTCAGTGCCATTTGTAATCCATTGTTGAACATTATCAACAGTTCTTTAGAGAAAGGTGAAGTACCAACTGAACTAAAATTATCTGCTATTATACCTGTACCAAAAGGACCAAATACAATCCAAGCTATTCAATTGAGACCAATAAACATGATTAATGCTACAGGGCTGTATATGAATAGATAATGGATTATTTGGAGAGTAATAGGGTCCTTTGTGAGTATCAATCGGGTTTTCGGAGCAAACAGTTATGAAACTATGTTACAATGTGTTTTAACAGATTGGAAGAAAGGTGCGGAAATGGATCAGTATACTATTGCAGTATTTCTTGACCTTCAAAGGGCATTTGAAACTGTAGATAGATGCAGACTGATTAGAAAGATTGAAAGCGTAGATATTGATGGAATAGCACTAAACTGGATCATGAATTATCTGAACAATAGACAGCAAAGGTTGAAACTAGAGGAAATTTATTTGTATAAAATGCAAAATAATATAGGTGTACCCCAAGGGCCTATTTTGGGACCATTGTTATTCCTCATATATTTAAATAACATTGTAACCATAACAAAAGAATGTAGAATTCACTTATTTGCCAACGATACCCTACTGTACTTTAGTAGTGAAAGGGTGTATAGATATTGCTCTGCAAATCTGCTGTAGGTGAACGTAAATAAAACAAAATGGATGTTATTAGGGACACATAGAGATCATAATAATGAAAACCTACTTCTATGATTGAATGACAGTAATATGGAGAAGGTAAACAAATTCGTGTACTTGGGTGTAACTATTGACAGCAACTTAAAATTCAAGGAACATGCTAATCAAGTTATCAAAACAATAGCTTACAAAATCAACTATTTAAGAAGATGTTCCCCATATATGAGCCAGTGGTATAAAATATTAGTATACAACACCATAATCCTTCCACATTTGAATTATTGTTCTACCATTCTGTTTTTTGTCAATCAAAATGAAATAAACACAGACTACAAAAGATGCAGAATCGTGCTATGCGAATAATCTTACAATGTTCGAGGATAACACCCATAGCAAATATGTTGCAAAATCTTCAATGGCTACCAGTGAAGAAACTCTTCGAGTACCAAACACTAATTTTTATTTTTAAAATCAAAATTTGATATTCTCCTGTATATCTACAGAACAAATTAACTTATGTGGCTGAAATACATGGGCATAATACTAGAAACAGAAGCAATATAAAAGTTGAAAAATATAAAAAAAATAGTACACATAAGTCATTGCTTTAATGACCTCCCTCAAGAAATTAAAGATAGTGGTTCGATAAATATACTCAAAAGACGATTGAAGGATTTCTTAATGAGAATATACAGTGTGTCAATTTGAAAACTTCCCACCCTCAATATCTCCCTTCCAGTACATAATATGAAAAAATGGTCAGACAGGTCAACTTTATTTGCAAGGGGGACACTCTGAATGAATATTTTCAACCCTCGGGGTTCAACCCCCTAGGAGGAGTGGATGTTACCCTCAGAATTATTGAAGGATTTCTTAATGAAAATATAGTATATTCCTATGCATGACTTTCTTATGTAACTTTTTATTTATACATATGTATTTTTAATCAGAATGTTTATGTTTTAACATGTTGATATTATTTTATTCATAATGTGACAATGTATTTACTATTGTAAACGAATTAGTTTCTCAAATAAATCAGAATGAAGATGAGAAGCCTACTGCGATCCGTGAAAGTAACAAAGACAAGTCCGTAGAATAATTGAAAAATGAAAATGAGTAGTTGCTTTAGAGAATATTATCCAAAAAGGATAAAAAATATAAAATTTTGCATTTAAATAAATTGCCAATAAAAACCTTTTGTTTGGACAGGCAAGAGTATTAGTGAGGGTTCGCTCAAAGAAAATATAGTAAACAATGAGTTATCTGAATCAGAAGAGGGATTTACAGAAGTGAAGTCAAAGAGACACACGAAATTTGAAAAAAAAGCAACCAGACAATTAGGACAAGCTGAAGATGGAAACAACTATGGCTTTGTGGGAGTACAACAAAGAGTATGGATGTATATATATACAGGGTGTTACCAGAAGCAGTAGTTAAACACCTTACAAGTTATTTGAAAAACAGACTAGTAGTAGTAGACTTTGTTTTAGGAATCCTAGGAAAAGATGAAAAGTTTGTGAAAGAACTGCAATCAATTATTCTAAATAATGGTAGCAACTGATTTCACACATAGAGGGGAATTGTTCAAACCCTATCTCTGGCCCAAAGGAGATGGTTATCGCAGGTTTGATTTAAGAAGATACAATAAATATCAACAAAAAGAATCTCTTGAAAGCTTTTTTTTTAATAAATGACCAGGTATCAAAAATCATGATAGAAGTGTACGAAATAACCATAACTTCGCTAGGATAAACCTAATACATCAAAATATGCAATCATTGGGAAACAGTGTTGAGAAAATTGAATTTTAACTTATAGATAATCCGAATTGTGGTTTTATATGCGGCACAGAGCACTAGAAACCACAAATTGAACTTGAAAACATAGAAATAAATATTTTTAAGTTAGCCTCATCCTTTTGTAGAGAGGAAAATAAACATGGAGATTCGGCCATTTATTGCAAAAAAGGCATAAAGTGCAAATCATTGAAAGATATAGTAAATATTTCAACAAATGGTTATTTCGAGTGCTCAGCAGTGGAAGTTGTCTCACCTGAAATGAACATAATTGTTGTTTCTCTGTATAGACCACCTGATGGTTCATTATTTGATTTTTTTGACAATTTTGAACGATTGCTACCCAAACTTAATGATAGTAATATCCTATTTATCGGTGGATACTTTAATATAGAAGGAGAATAACATAAAATCAGATTTGTGAACACTAACTCAGTGTTTTGATATTCACAAAACAATAAATGACTACACACGTATAACTCCAATTACTAAGAGTTGTATAGACAATATCCTTACAAATTATGCAGGAACTTACGAGGCAAAAGTTACATTCACATTTCTGATCACAAAGCTCAAATATTAACGAGGGAAATGCCAAATGAAAAGACACATTATTATATTTTTGGGAAAGAAAGTTTTTGGCTTTCTACTACTCCATCTTGATACAAAAAAAGGATGAGGGAATCTTCCAAAAAAAGGAAGGAAGTAATCAATTTGAAAATAAGTAACTCTATACATGGATGTGTAGATCATGCAAAGAAGTAACTTTCAGACACAAACTGAAAGAAAGTCCTCCTGAAACAGCTACTTTCATATAAACATTGAAGACGAAAGAAAAAAATTCTAATTACTTATTTTCAAATTGATTAATTCCTTCCTTTCTTTGGAAGATTCCCTCATCCTTTTTTTGTATCAAGATGGAGTAGTAGAAATCCAAAAACTTTCTTTCCCAAAAATTAATCACTCCTGAAAATATAACCCCTTCAATTCAAACATTATGATACTTTTAAAATAATTTTCTGTAATGACAAGATAATCGAATTCAGTAATTTCCATTATGTTCTTTGTAGACTAAACTCAAGTCCTGTAAAATAACATCTTCTTCCAGTATAACCACAGAAAATCGACTACAACACATAATGGTTATACTGGACGAAAAAGTTATTTTACAGGACTTGAGTTTAGTCTACGAAGAACATGAGGGAAATTACCTGGAACCAGAAGAGTATGCCATTATGTTCAATAACATGCCATATAAAGTATTGAATATCATGCATTTTAACATAAGAAGTATAAGAAAAATCTTCAATGAATTCTTAGCGGTGTATGAAACATACGCATTACACAGTTGTGACCTTTTGTCCTTTGTGACCTTCAGTGGATATAATACTGCAAAAATAAATAACCTTTCATGTTTTACAGTCTGACTATGCACAACATGCAACCAACATATTATATGCAACCTTTAACAATCATTTGGAGACAAGTAAGAAGAAATTCAAGAAAAACACCAGTGAATTTAATGAAATTAAACCTTGGATAACAGTTGGTTTATTATAATCAATATAACATAGAAACCAAATGAAAAAAGTCTCAATCATAGACACTCGCCTATTTTAGAATTAGAGTATAAACGTTATAGAAATTATTTAAATAAACTTCTGAATCAGACAAAAAAATGTTAGTATCTTAATTAAATTCCGTTGTAACAAGAAAAAATAATTTCATGCTCCCTATACACAGGTTAACTATAACTGAAAAAACTCCTCATTATATGCCAATGAAGCTGTATACTAAATTGACTAATCGAATCAAGGATTCGAAAAAAATGCTTATAGATTTAGAATTATATTTATATTTATTTATATATTTAGAATTATAAAAATGTATATAGATTCACATAAATTTTGTTTTTTTTTTGACATCATTTCATTCTGTTGTCTGTGTACTAGCTGTAATATTCGGCATATTTTTGACATAACAATTATTATTATTATTTTTGAGTTTTGAGTCACTTAAGGGGGAGTCTTCAGAACCAGAAGCTGCAATAGATCTTACAGTTCTTTCCTGAATGACAAATACTCCTCTTTCGAAGTGTGTAAACTTTCATGACCTGACGTTTCATCTTTTACTGTGATAGACATTAATCAAAGGTGATAAGGCAACAGCTAAATTGCTCAGGTTGTTCTCATAGCAGACACTATGTTATTGGAATTTGCCTCCGGTTTTATTCCATTGGTGGTGTGCATGGGTTCACATCAAATCGAAAGAAAATAATCCATAGAGGATTCAAAATGCGGCCACTCAACAGAAGACACAAAAGATGTTTTTTTGCAAAACTCACAAAGGAAATTTAAACATTGGCCAATGACCAATGAAAACTTACTGTATCTGAGTGCTTTCGAAGTTCTTTATCTCTCTTTAGTTCCAAGTCCTTCTTTGACTCACCATTCACAGCATCATTTAGATTTGGTAATTCACTGGGCTGTACAATTATTTTGGATTCTTTGCATATTTTAGCCAAATTTGGGTTGGGTGGATTTGTGTTTGGTATCACTGATTCATTCACATATTCTTTCGTTTCCAAGGTTTGGAATACCAGATCTACAAATGATTCTGTTTCTGTAATAGAAAATAAAATGTATTAGTGGTAGTCAAACATTAGTTACGAAGTGGAAAAAAGTAGATGTTTCAGAAAGTGTTTGCTAGCCTAGATAGAGGTAATAAAACTTTATAGATATTTTGATAGACATAAGTAAGGCTTTTCATGTGGTAGGCCACAAAATACTCCTCTATGAATCAGAGACATATGGTAGGTCTAAAGGGAATACATTAGCAATACTTTGAGAATAATTTAAACAACCAGACTATTTTGAAATTGATAATCAAGTTTTGCTTAGACTACATGTTACAATATATGTCCCCCATGAATCTATATTGGAGGTGCAAACTTCTGAATATGTCATAGATTGATAGCATAATTGCATTATCGTGTGTTAATATTTCAATATTACTGGAGTTCTTTCCCCAATACCAAACCGTTATTTTAACACCTCAACACGTATTTTCATCACCAAGTGATCATCTTCAAGATAAAGATCAAACTAGTTTGATCTTCATCTTGTCTAGGTGTTAAAATAAAGGTTTGGTGTTGGGAAAAAATCTCCAGTAATATTTATCTCCTATTTTGAGTGGAATGATTGGAAAAGTGTTTTCCGGCACTTTTCCGAAAACTGTCTCAAACTTTCCAACCGAATATCCTCAAAACCATAGAAGACATAAAAAATTTCGAATTAGAGAGTGATGCGCAATAATGAATTGTACAACTTCGATAATACGGAAGATAACCCAAAAGGTCTGTTAAGGCCAAGGGTTCCAAATAATTGAGTTTCCAATCTTTGCTTGCATAGTGCAAAATTTCCATATCCTTTATTTGTGGTTGCCTTCCAAAGAATGGTTTGAAAACGTCGAATCAGTTTTACCTAGTCTGAAGGACATTTTATGTTCAGCATACCGTTTTGAGAAATTTTGGCTACATTGTCCCACATAAACATTATTACACTCAAGCTTATAAACTTCAGATTTCTCCATCTTGTTCACTTTAACTTTGGCATTAAAAAGGAAATTAGATAACCTGGCATGTGGTCTGAATGCCACTTCCACATTGTTTTTTTCTGAAAAAACCTTCAATTGTCTGTTCTTTTATCAAAATATATTAAGAGTTACAAATTTCTTATTTCTGATCAAACAATCAGAAATCAAGGATGGGGTTGCTAAAAAGAGAAAAATATTTATTATTAATTTTATGACAAAAACTCATTCTTATAAAACATTTGCATCTTTTGGAAATGAGATTGACATAAAAAAAATCAAATCTGAGATTGGATGTTCAGGGTGTTATAAAACATTATACAGCGTGAAAATGTTTCATGGGAAAAATAGGTAGCATTATTATTTTACACAAACTTTTGTAAAATGATGAATGATGTTTATAATCTAAAATAAGGTATAAATCCAAATTTTCAGACCAAAATTCCAATTTTTATATTTAGATTAATCATATAATTTTTGCGATTATTTGCAGCATTTCACAAAAAAATTAAAAAAATCGAAACCAAATTGAAATATTTTCAATAAACTGTGTCATTTGAATTATTTAGAATAGAATAGAATAGAAATTTATTCATCATTAAAAGATTTTATACATGTGGTACATACAGTATAAAACTTTATCAGACTAGTCAGAACCGAACATAAAGCAATTGTGCTTATCTATAGTTAGTGTATATATACATGTTATTAGAAGTTAAGTAGACATAATAAAAAGATGCAAGAACAGTGACAGATAATATATGCAAGTAGCATGACAAGTACAATCAAATATGCTAGTGACAAACTTGTACACAAACTTGTACCACATACATGTGGTACATACAGTATAAAACTTTATCAGACTAGTCAGAACCAAACATAAAGCAATTGTGTTTATCTATAGTTAGTGTATATATACATGTTATTAGAAGTTAAGTAGACATAATAAAAAGATGCAAGAACAGTGACAGTTAATATATGCAAGTAGCATGACAAGTACAATCAAATATGCTAGTGACAAACTTGTAGTGAAATATTTCAAACCAAATATTCAAATTGAAAGATTTATGTCTCTCAAAAGTTAACCACAACATCACGAACAGTAATCACGCAGTGTCATATCAGGAGAACAAGCTCTCCACTCTTTTGCACACCTCGTCTACCAAACCATCTTTGAAGAAAAAGTCCATTCAGATACGGACGAACTTCAATAGAGAAATGTGGTAAAACACCATCTTGATGATACTAGGTAATGTATTTATTTCATTTGGATGTCATTTTCTAGAAATAGTCTTTTCAGCTGTGGAACGAAACAATTATGTTCAACTTATTTCATAACGAGAAATATTTAATAAATAGTGATAATATGAAAAAGGAAATCTTAACGCTTCATCATGATGATCCTGAATTAGGAGGACACAATGGTTACTACAAAACGTATTGTAAAATTACAAAAGATTTTTTGGGAAAGGTATGAGTAAAGATATAAAGTATTACATTAAAACTTGGTGAAACTTTCCAACATGTTAAATTCAAATATCTGCCAAAACCAAATTATCTTCACTTATTAATAAGTTCTAACGATAACTTCCAAACCATACATATTGATTTTGCAGAGTTGAGTAAAAAGTCCGATATCAATAGAACAAAATGATTCGTAATTTTAATCTATAAAGCAACAAGATTTGTTAATGGTAAGGCTCTGAAGAAAAGTGGTGAAGCTTTGAAGAATTATTTCATGAGTCTTCCTTTCAAAGATTAGGTGAAAAATATTGTGACACATTGTGGCTGAAATATTCCATGAAAGGGCTGAGGCCGCAGGAATCAATTTAATTTATACAACTCCTTATCATCCTGGAGGAAATGGTTTAGTAGAAAGAACAATTTACTGATATCAATATATTTATGAAATGTTATCTGAATAACAGATGAGGTTGGAAAAATAATTTAGAAGCTGCAATTCGTCATCATAATTATTCACATAATGAATATCTAGGCTGCTCATCAAATTTCAAACTATATGGCAAAGGAACGGAACTGAAAGCTGACAGGAAATAAGGTTTAAAAATAGAAATAAATGAAAAACCAAAATCGTCCAAAGAACAAATGAAATACAAAATAAGGGTTCAAGTACAAGCTAATAAAGGAAGAAAATTAAGACCACCAGCATCAAGAGTCGGGGATTGGATTCTGACAAGGAATACTTATTGGAAAATAATTTGTGACAAAAAGATCTTCTGAAGTTACAGGTGTCAAATATATTGGCGAAGTTTTAGCCTACGTTCATTTCAATCCAGATAATTCAAAGACTGAAACAGCCCATATATCGATAATGCAACAATTTCATCACAGGAATGATGATTTCTTGGGATGGGGGATGTGTAGTAGAATGACCATCTGGTGATATTGATTATATCCCCTATATATGGTATTTTGAGATATCCTAGGAGGTGATTGTTAATAAAGTAGAATTCTATATGAAAAGTAAGAAATGTAATAACTGGAGAAATATCTCGTTATTTCTTTACATTCATTATATATTTCGTGTACATTATTTGACCAATTCAATATAAAAACAGATTTCCTAAGACAACATCCAACCACCTGGCCTCAAAATAATGACTTCCAAGGATTGAAAATTGTCAAAACATTAAAAGTATTTAATGATACAGCTGAGCGTAGTGTTGAATTATTAACTGACTTTAACAACCTTCTGACAAAAGATGAAGACCGAATGCAATATGTCCTGCAAGTTGTAAGCAAATGATGAGTATTATATCCTGACATTTCAAAAACTACTTCAACAAAAGCTCTAGAATAAATTAGATAAATATGTAAAATTATCAACTCATGTAGGTACTACGTCTGTATATTTTCTGTATCTGTTTTGTATGTATTATATAGCTAATTTTTATATTTTAAAATAAAAAATGTCATTAGACTCATCAGTATTACTTGATTTTTATTATATTTCTTCTTTAAACTCAAAAATATACCAAAAAAAGCAAAATTTACCACCTAATAACAAAATATACGAAGTATGCTCCTTGTGGTATCAGGTCACGTTGTAACTTGGCTGTTGTGACTCGGTTTGACTTAAAATAACAACAATTATGTATAGAATATAAATTTTGAAGGACAATATTAGCTTTCTTTTGAGATTTTAAACAGGTTTTGATCATTTTTTGTTCTGAGTTATAGCTCTATACGTCAACTTTTTAGACAAAAATTTGTATTTTTTTTAAACTTTGAGCGACGAGCAGCACGGGTTAGGTTAGGTTAGGTTAGGCTTTTAATCGAGCTCAAATTTTGGCTACCTCAATTTCTGGAAAGGGGAAACGTTTTGTTGGATCCAAAGAACATAATTCCAAATTCGATTTTTTGCGATCACCCTATTGTTTAATGAAAAAACCTTGGAATTGTTTTAATAAGAGTCAGCGAGATGAAACATTGCATTCATAAGATAATACCACTGATTAGATTTTTGGTAAGTTGATTGAGCGCTGACTGATTTAAGAACATGAATAAAACACTTTTGGGATTTGGTATTCTTTCACCGACTTTGTTCATGTCAACAGCAAATACGGCATTACAGTACACGGGCCCTGGTTGAATGTTGTATGGTACATTAGAATGGATTGAAGGTTGTCTCTCCCACCTCCCTCAAGGCGTCTCGTCAACAGTTTCAATATCTTCAAAAATAGGAATGAAACTATTTCTATCATCATTAAATAAATTATTTTCAATCCTTTTTTCAAACAGATCAAAACTGTCAGAATAAATGTATTTGTACAAATTGTTTGCTTATAGGCACATATATTTTATTAAAATGAATTATAACATATAAGTTCTTTACCTACCTCTGCACCTTGTTGAAATGATCAAGCTCAATTGATAATTAAAATATATCAACAGCCTCACTCAATTTAACTTTCATAGAGTTTTTTATCAAATCTTGTTCTCAACTTGAAATAATTAACTTCATGTTGCATATATAATTTGTCATATAACACAGGAGTGCAAATTATAAATAGAACACTAACCTCCTTCGAGAAAAACGTCAAGCTGTCCAACCATACTTTTCCTAAGTTCGTCTTCAGATTTGTCCTTTTTTATAAGTGCCAAAACATACTTCGCTAGAGCTGCTGGATCAGCATCGCACCTGATCAAAAATAAATATATTACAGAAGTTAGGTTACCTATCGAAAATATTCAAAATAATCTCTAATTTGTTTTAGAATTAAGTAGTGTTAATAGGTGATGTAACACTATTAGTGGTAGCTATATTCTTGTTTATAAAAATTTAATAAAAATAACAGAAATAGGGGTCAACTTACATCGGCTTCAGCACAGCTGTTAACCAAGTTTTAAATGCATCCACATGATCAACAATCATTTTGATTTACTATAGAATTGAACAATTATTAAAAATATAACAATTTTGTGATTAAACTATATTTCCCACGTATAATTCACTTTCACACAGTAAACTCCACGGCCTCACGCCAAGATTTCTAGAAAACTGAAAACTAATGAAATACCAACTTTCCAACACTGACTACCAACCAAAAGCACTTAGCCGGTGTTGCATGAGGGCTAAAAAAAAATCCATAGTGATAGAAAGTAATAGGTTTTTAAAGTATCAAAGGGCCCACCGCAGGCTAAATTTTTTCAGAAATCCGTTACTTTTTGCCAAATATTTATTACTTTTTAGGTTCAATCGACTATATCCAGATTTATTTTGAAGTACACTGTCACAGAGGAAAGAATTTACGATTTACAGAGGACAGAGACAACCATCTGCAGAGGAGCAGATTAGACAAGGATAAACTCTCACGCCGAGTTAAATGACACCACAAACTGCAGTTTGAGGAGTGCCTAGAAAATGACAGTACTACCAACTATCGAAAGCGCTCGCAGATAATTAATAGAAGATATAAAGCTTCAATCCTTTTTGTGAAGCCGAGAGAGGGAATAGGCGATAGGGGATAAAAACAATTGAAATATCGTGAAGTAACTTGGCTTGAAATCTTTCAATTTTTATTTCATTTTTTTGTTTAATTGTTCCATTTTCAATTTATTGCTTGTAATTTATTTTATTTTAATCTCATTTCAGGGTTTTTTCATTTTATTTTCAATTGTATTCGTTCTATCAGGAATTTAAAATCATATTATATCATATTAGACAATGGAAGTCTGAACTAATGAAATTCAATAATTTTTTTATTGCCTATTCTGAAGAAAAAAATATTTGTATTAGTTTTCAATGACATTATTCATTCAGAATGTTTTGTTTTTCATCGGAAATATATTCCTAATGTTTCTATTTGAGAGGATGTACCCACGTTGTTGTTAGTAATTTTTGCTTACATTCAAAATTGAAAGTATTATCTACTGATTTTTTCAATTGATTGCCTGAGTATATAGTTTTCAAAAAGGTGAAACATCCTTTTTCACCTTTTTCATTTATTCATCTTCAATCCGATCTTTTATTGGTCGAAGTCATTTGACTTTTCTTTTATGGTTTTTATGATACAAAATTAAATATAAATTCCTGAATCTTCATCATAGATACTAATATATTGGTTTTAATAATCCACAGCAAAATGAATTCGTCGCATTAGCATCACTTTTCTATTCTTTACATTTACATTGCATCATAAATGAAACTAGTTTTTCACATTGATTAGACTCTCAACTTTTCTTATTGATGTGTTTCACAAACTAGGTATAACTTTGTTTCCAAAATATATAAACAAAAAACAGTGTATCTGAAGAATTATGATTCAACCTGAGAACCTTACCATACATTTGAAGGGACGAGGTCACCGGAGCGGCAAAGGAAATACATATTAATAAATATAACTATAACTAGCCACAGTCTGTAAAAAAAGTGCATGTTTTTATATGCAAACCATTTGGAATTATAAACGCTGTCGGCACCGCTACCAGATTTCGTAGTCATTGTTTTTTGCCTTTCTCTGCTATGTTTTTGATACCGGTGATTTTAATACCACCATTAAAAAAAAACCGATGAAAACTGTCCATGAATTCCTAGAAAATGCCAACTTTTCAACAATGAATATAACTGCTAATCTAAATCTATAAAACGGCGAAATGCTGCAGGGGGCTTGAAATTAGTTGTAACTGGAGTTTAGACTTTAGTTTTTAGTTTAACCAAACCTATTTTTTCGATCTCTTATCAATTCTTCTTCTTATTTTTTTGCCTATTACTCATTTCTTATAATTAGCTCTCTATTACTAAGTTCCGTTTTGGAACAAATAAATAAATATATTCAACAAACTTTTCTCGTTAGTCATCTCTTACTACTATCGTCTGTTACTATTTAATTTGTCAATTCGCTTTCTGTATTTTTTTTGAATTTTTCCACAAGTTTGGATATTTATCTGCCTAAACCAAATGTTCTTCTATGGACACAGATTAAATAATCTGTGCTATGGACAAAAGCCAAAACTTTTTATGAATAACCAAACAGTGGCAACACTGACAATTAGAGATGTGGTGTGACAGGATTTTTAAGGACTGTGACTAACCGTGACTGCTCCGGTAAAGTCACAGCTCAAAATCACTGTGATTTTCCGGAGTCGTGATTGATGACGGCGTCGGACTGATTCGTTGACAAGTGTGACAACGATCGGCACAAGAGTGGGAGCCTAGACCTAGATATAGTGTTGCCACATCTACCAACTTTTAGGTAGATCTACCAACTTTGCCCTCAGTCTACCTGTCTACCAACCTAAGCCTCAAATCTACCTATTTTTCAAAATTTTCTAATGTGTTTTTTTATTTTCTTATTTTCATAATCTTATGACACGTAAATGTAAATAATTGTATTTATGAATAAATGAATTACAAGTAAAAAAAAAGTTTCAACGCCATTATTGAAAACATTTTCTTTCTTACTGAAGGATGAGGTGGTATGGCTTTGTGACTTAGCTCAACGGCGAATAAAAACACTTACGATTGACAGTTGACGAGTGACAATAGACAATAGTAGAAAATCATGATATGATGCATAATTCGAATGTAAACAATTATTAGAAATTTTATTTTATAAATACTCAAGTATCAAGATTAATCGCAGTTAGAAAAGCAGAACTATACCCAAATAATATGGGAATAGACTTCGATATTCTTGAACACTGCAGAAAAGTAAGGGCTGATCATGGACCTCCTTATACATGTCCTATTCAGAAGTGTGCAAGATCATATAAATCAGTTTGTGGATTACAATATCACTTGAAAAGTTTTGATCATGATAATCCAACACCATTACCACCAGTGACTACGAATTCTCCAAGGAACAAAAAAGGTGTGTAATTTTTAATGAAAGTTTGACACTTTTGAATAATGAATAATTGATACTTGGAAAACCTTCGGCTTTCTATTTTTTCTCTAATCTAAAAAAAATAAATAAATAGAATTCTGAAAAAGATAAGAAAAAAATACATAGTTATTGAAACATATCATTCATGGAAACTATAGAAATAAAATTCCACATACAAGAATCATTTTCATTATAATATTAGACCCTGAGTTTTGGAAGAAAACATTCCTTTTGTGAATTTTAGTAGTAGCATATGCAAGGGATACTTCTACACTGTCAGTTTGAAATACTATCAATTATATAACAGAATGCATTCATACAAACTTGAAATTGTATATGGTTACTTTGACAGAATGGATTTGCTTCAAAAAGTGTCGAAAACATACAGAATACTTTAGATTAATTCTTTGGAGATTTTTTTTTGAAAACTTCCAATAAATCTATTAACTCACTGTCAATCTTGACATTTTCATATAGGGTAATCAAAAAATAATAAAATTTGATTGCAACTACAAAAAAGATGTATCGCCACAATACTCTCCCCTCAATGTCATCTGCTCCTCATTCATTAATGAGAAAGAAGGTTTAGGTCCCAAATAATATTTATTAGGTTTTTTTATTAACTAATGAATTTTATTTTTCATTGTTCAAAAAGAAATATAATTTCATATGGTACTTATTTGCTCATTATTATTATTCTGTGCTCGCTGTTACACAATTTTTTTTGATAAGCTGTAATTCTTTGTTCTAGAGTAGGCGGCATTTTCTTGAGCCATGCTAGTTATATGAATTTGTCCAACATCTAGCCTGGTGCCAATTCTATATTTCACTATATAGTTTACTTGATTTTTAATCACCTAGCGATAAAAAACAATTCAGAAACTAATTTTGTCATTTCGTCTTCTATGAAAATTTGATATATATTTATCAACTGCGATTTCAATAATTTGTAACATAGAAATTCTTCTCAAATTTGCCATCTTGTCTCAACGGCATCAAATAGGATTTTTTTTTAGAACAAAACAAGGACTACAGGAAAATCCTCGAAGTGCTCTAAGAGCAGTGCCTGTGCGAAAGTAGCAATTCACATAGGATTTGTTTGGATGTGTTTAAAAATGAATAATTCAAATTTTACATCAACGTAATTATCACCACAATACGAGAATCAAAAACCAGTTCCATGTGTCAATTGCGAAATTAAAAGTGACTTATTTTGGGCCAGAACACATTGATTAAAAAATTTACAATAATCTTCCTGAATGTGTGAAGGCTTGGAAGTAAATGTATACTTTTAAACAAATACTAAAAGCATATTTGTTAGAAAGTTGTTGTTATACACTAACAAAATCTTTCAATAATTCTCAGGTCTGTTCTTCTTTTACTATCGCCTCATTTCATTTTTACAATTAATTTTTATTATCTCTATCTTATTGTGTTGACAGTTCCCTATATTGTCTTTGTGGAAATAACATATTATTATTAAACCAAAGTTTGGTTTCATTTTTCCAAAATATTAGTAATCTTATGGAATTGGTTCTATTATATTGTTTCTCAATATCGTCAGGTTGATTATCCTGCAGAGTCGTTTCAGTAGGACTAGACATAGAAGTAGAGAAGAAGACTATATTTTGTAGTTTTCCGGAATATTCCTTAGTTGATTGTAAGCTTTAGTTCTTTCATATAATTTGAGTAAATAGACTTACATATTTTGCATACACACAATTGCATGCTGCATACCTTTATTATCCTATTTAAAAAGTTTTCACACAATGCAAAACTCTTTTGTCACCAAATAATCTTTTTCCTTTTAAATGATGCTTTCTATGATATTATTATTATTTGTTGGCAATATTGAAAAAACAAAGTCAAGTTATCTTGCCAAATTTCGTAAATTTTACTTAACTTTGCTTTAGCAGAACATATCTATTTGTTCGTTTCCGCAAATATTTGCATTTTATCAATATGGCCTTCTTTTAAATGACACACTTCACGAACTATAAATATGGAATCAATTATGGAAGGCATATTCCAAAAAAAAAAATTATGACATTTCTCACATCTGTTGCCCTTTGATTTTACAACATGTTATTCATTCTAATTTACTTTTGTAACACTACCAACGGAAACAATGAAAACTCATCTTGTAAAAGTGTCACTCATAAACAATTATGATGTAGTTTGCTGGAAAAGATACCATTTGAGGAAATTTTTCGAGAAATAAAATGGAAGTGGCGAATGAAAAAAGATCTGCAACATGTAGTTGTAAAAATGTTTTATTTTATAAGTTTTCATTAGAGAAAGTGAGTTTCTGAAATACTTAGTTGTTTTTTTAATACTTTTGATTGACTGCATTTTCAAAAGTAGACAATAGACTGGTGCACCAAGATTCAGATTCATGATCTGCGGACATAATTTTATAAGTTCAATGAATTTTTTTAGAATATTGTGAGCTGTTTGAATAAAAATTTTTCCGATATAGAGAGTTCTTTCATAAATAATATCTGATGTTATTTTTTTTATGAATGTAGCTGTGAATTTTGAAATGAAATATTTCAGGAAGAAATAGATTAACGAAAGTTAAGGTACCCCCAACACAACATGCTCCAGAACCTTTAACTTTTGAAGAAGCCCAAAAAATGGTACAGTTTGAAGTCAATGGAGTAGGTTGCAGGTGGAATATCAATGAACCCATAGATGTGATCTCAAAAGATGATTTTTCTGATGATGAAGTCACTGAAATAAAGCTTGAAGATCAAGGTGAATTAATTACTATTTTCTAGTTATATAATTGAAGAAAAAAAAATAATTATTTGTTTTTTTAGTCTCGCAACCTGTTACTCAACTTCCACAAGCTAGTTACAGAGAATTGGAAGATTATAATATATGCGATGCACCTTCAAGACCCAACGCATACATTCGATTTATCGAAAAAAGTACAGAAGAATTAGATGGAGAAGTAAGATAGTTTAATTTCCAAATAATTTCTCAACTGACTAAACCGAACTAAAATTCACAAAAAAAATCAAAATAATTTTTTAACCAAGATGGATAATGATATTGTTTTCTCAAAAGCACACAAATTTGCATCCTAAGATAAATGAATGAATATGAGAGCTTTTCTTTCTTTGTTTGGAAGTTTTACACATTTTTTTGTATGAAAATGGGGAAGTAGAAAGCTGAAACCTTTTTTTTCCAAAAAATAATCTCTCCTGAAAATATACCTCTTTCAATTTGAAGAAAAATAATATACTAAAATAGAAGAGTTTTGGCTGATCTGTATACCAAACTTTCACTTTTACTTCGTTCACCATACTGTGGCTATGAATGCTTCAATTGATTTATATTATGACATTTTTTTTTAAAGCAAAAGTAAGAGATAAAGTAAAAATAAGTTTGGTGTATAAAAGTACATATGTTTTGAGTTTATATAAAGATTATATTGGTTTATTATATTCTAGGATTATAAATTTAATCAAAATTTTATATTACCTAAAACAAAAGTATAGAAGAGCGACACTCTTAGTTTATCTAAACATTTTGTTTTTAATTTAACCTTTTCATACAATTAAATAAACCAAGAATTGTTCAGTAAGATTGGAATAATTCACCCATTTACAAAAATGGTGATTTGAATGTAATCAAGAATTACTCACCTTATCACATTGATATCTACTTTACCAAAAATATTCAAGAAATTTTCAAATACAGAATCGAAAAATAATTAAATAATTTTTTTCTCAGAAACCCTATATGGATTAAGAAAATATAAGTCCACACAGAATAAAATTTGTCACACTACTAAATAAATAATGTATATCAATTATTTGATGATAAATTATCAATTTTCTATGTATTCAAGTAACACTTTATTGTCAAATTTTCATTGGTCTGTTTTCTCAGGCATGTTCAACTTTGTTTTTCTTGATCTAGCCTTGTCTAGTTTTTTTATTTAGTTAAAGCTTTTGATACAGTCAGCCATTCATTACTTTTGGAACAATTACAAGCAATTGGATTTCGTGGAACCTGAATTCATTCTAATGGAAAGTCGTTTGCAAAATATAAATCAACAAGTTAAATTTATTAATATTTACAGTGAAGTCTGGAAACGGATTTCAAAAACAACAAGGGTTGGTTTAATATAGAAATAGATTTATTAGAAATAGATGTCCTAGTATACATAAATATTATACAAATATATCAGTTATTAAACAAAATACAAAAAAAAACTAAAATATATAAGACCTATAGAGTAGCATATAGTGTGTAAAACATAGCAGTAGTAAATGATGAAGAGATTAATAGAGAGAAAAGAGAGAAGAATGATGAACAACTCAATTGGAATAATATTGTGCCCGTAGATATTGACATAAGGAGCGTTTGAAGAGTTGGAGGGTGTTACTTTGTTTAATTTCATTAGGAAGCTTGTTATAGTCAAAGAGTCCTCTGTGAAATATAGAATTCATTGTTCTTGCAAGGTTAGTTCATGGGACAAGCAAGTCATCTTTTCCTCTTGTATCGTATTTGTGTATATGATGGTTATATGTAATGAATTCATTGAAGTGAAGTGGTGCTTTTCCAGTGAGTATTTTAAATATGAATATTAGAAAATATTGTAATCTATCTTTTACTGTCATCCAATTCAGAATATTAATCATTGATAATATAGGAGTATATTTCTGGTATTTTAATAGTAATTTATTAACAATAAATTTTGAATTGAAGTCGCCCTGGAGCGCCAATTAATTTTTATTGTTGTTTTTATTTTATTTTTATCATTGTTTCTCCTAGCATTATCTGGGAATATATTTTGATATATGTTATTCATAAAAAAAATTCAATAATCTTTTGATGTATGTTCAAAAAATAAATCAAACGTTCAATTGAATAATTGGGGGCCATCCATTAATCACGTGATGTTTTTTTTCAGCATTTTTTAACTCAATCCCTTTTCCTCTGTGATATGTGTTGAGGTTTAAGACTAACCTCTAACCCAAAATCGGGTGTATTTTTTATTACCTTAAAATCTTGAAATTTTTAGAATTATCTTTAAATACATTAAATACACAAATACATACATTCAAATACACAAATAATTTTATTCTGAGATTAAGGGCCATGACAGAAATGTCTAGACCAAAAGGTTGCAAGTTGTTTTTGACTTACATAAAAGTAATATTGAAAGAATGGTGCCATCATGCAAAAAACATATATTGTACTAGTACATGAACATATTTTTCAATATACATTATCCTCGGACCACAGATTAGCAAGATTTTCTTCAACACTAACAACTGGATGAACATCTTGCAAGTGAGTTGTTGGCACTATGCTTTGTTGAAGATCAACGTTGGCGCGCGGGGATCCAAAGTTACACTACACGCCGCTTTTCGGTTTAGAAATCGCGCGTTTCACGAAAAAATAAATTCACATGATATCTTATTACTCCCCCCTTTCCCTTGTGATATTTCGTAATTTTTGCTAAACCCCTCTCCTCTTTCAAGCTTCACATGATTAATGGACGGTCCCTTATGAGTATGATACAAGAAATAAATTAACATGTGCTTTAAAATTTATGTATTTAAAACGAGAATCAGTAAACATATCCAGCCACTATAAATCTCCAGAATGTATTTCAACACACTCAATCTTGTTCACATAAATTTATATACTTTACATTATTTTATTTTTAGTATACACTTTTTTCTTTTTTTTATATTACTGTTAGTCTAGAAACGATGTTTGTATTACTATTTTATATTTTGTAGTATATCCTACTGAATGAAGAAAGTTCTTCTTCAATAAAAAAACCAGTAAAAAACAATATAATAAAAAATTATGTATTCAAATCCTTTTATATTTGATAAGCTGCCTAATTATACGAACGCTCTATATCTTTTTTTATGATATAATGAATTTCAATAAACTATGATATATATTTCATCAATTGCATTTCAAAATGATTTTACATAAATTTTTGTTTAAGATTTTTTCACTATCGATATGTTACTATGTCAGTGTGTGTGTCTGCATGAGCTTGTGTTTTCATAAGGGTGTATCCGTTTTTACGAGTTGCCTTGGTAAGTTTCACTTTTCAAGGCTATTTAGAAGTTTTTTATTATTGTATATGTATACATATATTATGAAATATTGAAAATAAACTTATCTCTCTTATGTAAGTGAAACAGTATCAATAAAATGTAACTTTCTTACACTTTCAAAAACATGAGTAATGAAAAGTGTTCCTTACAAAGGGTTAATGAATATTCCGAGCATAGGTTTAAATATAAATACAATTTCCATGATATCAAAGGAAGAAAAAAGTAAAATAGTATTAAGAAAATATTTCTTGACCTTTTTTTCATTTTTTCACCTGCTTATTGAATATGGTAGTGCTAGTATTCTTTTGTTTCACATTAGTTCATTTTATCTTTTCTCAAGCTTCAAATCAGTTAACATTTTTTTAGGTATGGAAGGTAGTACATCTGACATTCAATAAGAAATATTGTTAATTACTCCAAACAAACACTGTGGTTAGATTCTAAAAATGTTATATTGGGTAAAGGCACCAGATTATTAGATGAGTCATTTGGTAATAAAGTCTACAGTTTCTATATTCTATTTTTAAGTTAAAAAAACATCCGGTCCTATCCAGCCTTAATACCAACATGAATATAAGATTTTGTGTAACGTATAATATTTTATAATAAAAGATTTCAGATTACAATACAATTTATATAAAATGGTAGATATGCGCATGTGATAAGCTCTTCCACCTGGAAAACTTTTTCCTAATGATTTTTTTTGAAGATAGAAGTTTTCTTGTAGGTATGCCAACAATCATCAGTATTCAACCTCTCATATAAATTCTATTCTAAAATTATTATTTTCTTTGTTTTTTGATATGTCAAAGATTTATTATGCCTAAATGTGCTAAAATAAAATTTATACTTTCGTACGAAGTCAATATGAAGTCAATATTATTAACATAATAACACATCATTTGTAACAATTTTTTATATTTTTCATCATTCTGTTTTGGTGTTTTCTTTACTTGTATATACTTAATAGAAATGTGATGGTAATTTTTTGGTGATGGTTTCAAATTACTTTTCACATTATAGTTGCTTTTGAAGTTTCATTCAATATTTATATTGTACTTGGACAGTTTTTACAGTTATTACCATTTCAGGTTGAGTATGATGTAGATGAAGAAGATACTGCTTGGCTGTCTATTATGAATGAAAGAAGAGAAACTGCAGGATTAGCACCTGTTTCAGTAGATTCTCTAGAGTTGCTTATGGACCGTTTAGAAAAAGAGTCATATTTTCAGGTAGGTATAGCTTGTTATTCAAAAAATATTGAATATATTACCCAATCTGTCATTAGCTACTAGAGATTTATAACTGATTGGAAAAGATATCAAAGTTGGAATCAGCAGAACTTATTAAATATTAGTGAATAATGGAAAAACAACATAGGCGAAGACGAGTATATGATTTTGGATGTGTAGACTGTGATCTGAAACGAGTATTTGATACTATGAAACATGGAAAACGTATGTTATGGATAAATTATCAGATTAGCTCAATAACAATCTGGAAAGTAGAGAACATGTTATAGAAATAGGAAATAAGTATTCATCCTAGTCATACAAACTATGACTTATGGAATACCTCGGGGATCTATTTTGAAACAATACTGTTTCTGGATTATGGGAATGATTCATTTGCTGATAATTTTTTATTCAATAACTATTGAAATTTCAATATAGTTTTAATTTTTTTTTTCTTTCATTCAATCTGAAGTTTTATGATACATACGAAAACTACCATATCTTTAAATTATAATCTCAAAACTTTTTTCTCATGAAATAATCTTTCGAATGAATGAGATTGTATGTGATAAAAATCTGAAGATCACTAATAAAAGAATGAATGCTTACTTTTCCTAATATCCAAATATTTGAAAACCAATAAACTGTAACTGCAACATATAACTCAATGATTTTTATGATGCCATATAGATACATTAATGTCAACAAGGTCGATGATGAAAATATTGAAATTCTATTTTTATTTACACAAATGGCTTAAGAATTACTGGAAATAATTGTCCTATCAGAAAAAAGAATAATTGAATTGGTAAGTAACTTCACAATCCCTAACTATACTCAATACTATAATGAATCAACTATAAATAAATGCGATGGGGTCATGATATATATCAAAAACCACATATCAGCAGATGTAACAGTAGTGCAAATAAATGACAATCGTTTCCTAAGAGCTACTTTCACCATTAACCATCTGTTAAAGCAAAATAAAATAGGATTGACAGCATATTACAGACCACCAGCAACAAACAACTCAGATTATACTAACGACTTGGAAAACTACCTATCCACCTTGAATAAACAAAATGTAGAAATTTATTTAGGATTCATAGACATAAATTTATTAAACATCCATAATAATGAAACGAACAACTACTTGAATATTCTAGGTTCCAATGATTTTATTTCATATATAAACAAACCAACCAGATTAAGTAAAGATACGAATTCGGCTATTGATCATATTTTCATAGGACAAGACAGTTTAAAAAAAAATGTTTCTATTTCATCTATAATTTTTTGTACAGATATGATAGACCATTTTACGCAATTTGTATGCTTCACCTTTTCATAAACTAAAAAACACAAAGATTACCATAATAAAATAAATAAAATAATCAACCTTAAAAAACCATAAAAAATTTCTTTACTTTCAACAGAAACATGGGAAAGTCAGTAACAGACCCTCAGCAAAGCTATGACTTATTTATTAGTAAACTTGAAGATCACATAACATCATCTACATCTAAAAATAAATCAAGTTTCAAACTTTTCAAAATCAAACCCTGGATTACTGTAGGCCTGGTGAACTCCATAAAGCATTGTGATAATCTGAAAAAAAATTACTGAAAGAGTATTCAACAGTTTTAGAATCAGAATTGAAAAGATACAGAAATAAATTGAATATCCTATTAAAGAAAACAAAGAATGATTATTACAAATCCCAAATAAATAATGCAGATACAAACTTTAAAAAAATCTGGAATACAATAAATAACATACGAGGTGAAGATAAAAAGAAAGACATTGAAAACAATGATACCATATTAGAAAAAAACATTACCGTTAGTAATAACGCAGCAAAATCGAACGCATTCAACAAATTCTTTGTCGATATAGGTGAAAACATGAGCCAAAAAATACCAAAGGCAAACTTACCCGAAAACTTTTTATGCGATACTCAAATTAATCAATCAATATTTTTGGAACCTACAACTAAAAATGAAATACTCATGATAATTGCAAATATAAAGAATAACTCCGCACCAGGACCTGATAAAATAAACTCGAAGACTTTGAAATCAATTCATCCCAACATTTTAGTCCCCCTTGTCCACATCATCAATCAAACATTCTCAACGAGCGTCATACCTTGGCAATGGAAAATCAGCAATGTAACACCAATTTTCAAAGCAGGAAAAAATCCCAAATTGATAACTACAGACCTATATCTATCATAAATTCCCTAGCCAAAATTTTCGAACGATCTGTCAAAAAAAGACTACTTAATTTCCTGGATAAACATCATATAATAACTGACAGGCAATTTGGATTCCTGAAAAATTCAAACACGGAGAATGCCATAATAGATTTTCTCAAAACCACTGTGAAGGCCATGGACAGGTCAACCAAATGCTTGGCCGTTTTCCTGGACCTGGCCAAGGCCTTCGATACAGTTGACCATGAACTATTGATGGAAAAATTGAACAACTATGGTATTCGAGGCAATGCTTTGGCTTTGATGAAGAACTACCTATCAAATCGAATCCAACGAGTGAAAATTGGAAATGAAATAAGTAGCGAACTGACTGTACAAATTGGTATACCACAAGGGACCATTTTGGGACCGGTACTTTTTCTCATTTACATTAACAGTATAACAAAAATCAACAATTTCATAGGCGATATAATATGCTATGCCGATGATACTGCTCTAATTTACACGGGAACATCTTGGCATGAAATAAGAGAGACAGTAGAAACAAATTTACAAAAAATATAGATGTGGCTAAATAGTACCAAACTATCACTGAATGTAACCCTTATTAATTGTCAGTTTTTATCTATACACCATTAGCAATGCTTATATTTATACCTACAAAGCTTTGTCGATGGGATAGAAAATCTTCTGACAATAAAGTATTTTTGATTTGATTTGATTGAAACAAGACAACGTATCTGATCTTTTTCCCCACCCTTCGTGATCAACCCAAAAACTACAAAATAAAAATACATATACTGCACTGTGATAATCAAAATACTTGCGACTGTCAGACCATAGAACAAACCACATCTATAAAATACTTCCGAGTTATTTTAGATCAGCACCTAAAATGGACGGAACATATCAACTTTGGAACAAAAAGGCTCCGCGTATTAATGCACATTTTATATGAACTCCGTGACATACTGTAAAAAAAATCTTATAATACTCTATACCTCTCTTGTCGAATCTATAATAAAATATTGTATTCCTGCTTGGGGGGCACCTTTCAAAAATGCTATTAGCCCATTACAAACCGCTCAAAACATTTTATCAAAAATGATCTTCAAAAAAATAGACTCTTTTCAACAAGAGAGTTATATGTTAAATATTCATTCACTATACATTTATCATTGCCTAATAAGAATGTTTCATAAACGAGCAGATTTCGCACAGAAACATTCAAGAGATACTCGATCAAAAATGAACCAGGACGTAAAAACTGAATTCTTTAATAAAACGGTCACCCAGAATTCTTTTTTCTTTTAAAGTCCAAAAATATTCAAATTCTTACCTAAAAATATAAAAGATATAACATCCTTCAAACTATTCAAAAAAGAGGCGAAAAAGTGTGTACATAATCACCCAGAAAAATTTCCAACTTCATACTGAAATATATACTTACTTATGATTACATTGTGTATACATTGTGTATCACTATCAAAATTTAACAATAATACCACAATAAGCGGTTATACCCCAATCGAAATGATTCAAATTATCCAGTCTCATTTGAACCCTAATTTTAAATTCTCTCTCTTATCCTCTTTCTATATTCATAAAAATGTAGGAAAACTTCACTTACCATTTGAATACAATTACATAAGATATTGTACAAATGCCATGCTGACATCACAAAACAGGCTATTTTGCCTAGCGTGAGTCTACTTCACCGAGTCATTTAAAAAAAAAAACTCGTACAACTATCCAATATCCATTATTTTATTTATTTTCACATTATTGATTGTTTTGATATCAATGATTGTATGTAAAATGGTTTTAAAAAATAAATTGAATTGAAATTGAATTGAATTGATTGATGCTTGATAACACACTTCATTTCAATAGTCATTTCATTTATATTAACCCAATAATACTTGCTTTTTTTTCAAAAATAACTTTCATCTGTAAATGATGAGGTTTCATATATTTCTCCCAGAATCTTCAAAAAAAAAAAAACCATATGGTAACGCTAGAAGTTTACACTCTGTATTTCGTAATATTGTTCTCATCAAACATGTATTTACTGTGAAGGATTGAAAAACAATCAATGAATATCCCCACATACATTTTTTCATAGGGTTTTTCCAACTGTTCAATAATCTTTCTTTCACAAGGTCGGTGTTTTTGGAGTGAAATGCAAAAGACTAAGTAAGCATTTTTATTGTATTGCAAATTGTCAATTTCACCGACCTTGTAGGTCTTACTGCTTCCGAGATAGCAATAGTGGGATCAGCTAAAAAAAGCGGACTATATATTAGCACTCATCAGTACAGTACAGCCAAAATTTGGCTGCAGAAACAACACAAATGCACAAAGTCATCAACAGAAGCCAGTTGCACTTTTTGGTTTCCGTCAGGTCACCTCGGGTTAGAGATATCACTAAAGTCACCACGAGGCAACTTTAGCTACCTGCATAATATTCGGATCCAGTATACGATATAGATGATAATTTAGCTAGTGGATTTGATATAATCAGAAACAGGGAAAATTAATGGACAAAGCACGCAGAAATTATGCAAACCGCAGACAGGTGTTTCTAGCTCATTAGCTTTCATCAGTACTGTATAGACGTGTAAGGTTATGCAACACTTGGCTGCAGAAACAACACAAATGCACAGAGTCATCAACAGAAGTCAGATGCACTTTGTGATTTCATTTAGGTCACCACGGGTTAGAAATATCACTAAAGTCAGCTTTAGCTACCTGCATGATATTCGGATCCACTATACGATATAAATGATGATTTAACGAGAGGATATATGTAGAAGCAGGGAAAATTAATGGACGAAGCACTCAGAAATTATGCGAACCGTAGACAGATATTGATACGTGTTTCTGACTCATTAGCTGTCATCATTACGGTATAGTCAAGTGCAAGGTTAGACAACACTTGGTTGCAGAAACAACACTGCTGCTGGCTTCTGTTGATGCATTTGTGTGCTTTCATAGAAATAAAGACCACGATCACCCTCTTTGCTGACGGTACCGCCATATTGAGGCATAATAAGGACATCCTTACTCTTCAGGAGGCCATTTCCAAAGACGTCAATAAAATTAAAGAAAGGTGCAAATACAATAAGTTATCTTTCAACATCAATGAAACTAGCTGCGACTCACCTGAGATTTGCCTGAGTAATTAAATACTGGAATGAAACATAATTATGAATTTCTAGAGATAAATATTGGCAAAAAATAGAAGTTTCAGGATAACACAATAAACTTGAGCATGAAGCTTGCGTCAAGTCAATATATTTTTTTTTCTCTCATAGATCCCCATATCAGATATGGAATTGCCTTCTGGGGAGTTTGCACCATAGAGTTATTTCAAATGATTTTTGTGCTTCAAAAAAGGGTTGCCCCATACATGTGCAAAGCAACTGCCAAGGATATGTGCAAGATTCTTTTCAAAGCTCACGGTATCTTGACAGTAGCTGCCTTATTTATTTTGGAAACGGTATGGTTAATAAAGAAAAAATATTCATCTTGTATAACCCCTATTTCTGTATACTATATCGTAGCCAGAATAGTAACATTGCCCTGCCAAATTCCATGAACTCTTTAATTAGAGACTCAATTATGTTCAATAAGATCAAACTATTCAAACACCTACCAGGTCAAACTAAAGAAATAAAAATGCCCAATAGATTCAGTAAGGCAGTTAAAATTCTACTTGTTGACAGGGTCTGTTACACCGTTCAGGAGTATTTTGATGATCATTTTGTCTCTTGATGTTTGATCTATTCTAACAAGCTCACATTTATCGGCTTACTGTTTTACATAATATTTTTGCTCCAAACCGCTGATATTTTCTTATGATTGCTTAAGCTTGTTTTATTTCACATCCTCATTTCATATCATTGTATTTGCTCAACTTGAATGTTTTTATGTTTCTTTTTATATATGGATTTTAGCCGGTAGACTTTTTACTTATAAAACTTTGAAAGATATATTTCATTTTCTTACAATAAAGTATATTTGATTGATTGGTTTTTTCTGGATTTACAAAGCATTCTTCATACATACTTTCAGTATATATGTGAAGAGACCCTGACTACCATCATTTTGTCATACTGATGTAGTACTTGAAAATATTTTCGTCACCAAACCTGTAATTGCTGTTTTATTTCACCTGTAGCCCGAAGTTGTGCATCAGACAATCTGTCAGACCAGTAGTATCAGTTGACTTATCTATATAGATCCATTTAAGTTTTTTTTTTATTTAGGCTTCTGCTTTCTATTACAAATTTATTGACATTTTATGTACAATTAGGTGAACAACCCTATTTCAATAAACTCTTTCATTTTAAAATCTTTAGAACTGATACCAGGTCAGACTTGGATGAATAGTACTTGATCTTTAGCATGAAATGAATCTGAAGAAAACTTTTCCCACACACGAACAAAAACACTCTTGACGCGCATTTCGATAACAAAGTTAACATCATTAGGAGATAATGAAGACTTGAAGTACAAAATTTACGAATTCAACTATTATGATTCATCAAATTATGATTTTTAAATTTTGATTTTTTTCTAGGCATCGGTCAATGGACATTCTGGATCAGTGGTTGATGACGATGCTGTTTGCTGCATTTGCATGGATGGGGAATGCCAAAATACCAATGTTATTCTTTTTTGTGATATGTGTAACTTGGCTGTTCATCAGGATTGTTATGGTGTACCGTACATACCAGAGGGACAATGGTTGTGTAGGCGGTATGTAAAAAATGTAAACTTAATTAAAATTACTATGTGAAGGGATTGAAATAGTGTCCGACCGAATGTTCGGTTTCGATCGAGTTTCGGCAAAAAAACTGGTTTCGGTTTAGTTTCGGTTTCGGCGGCAAACCTGCCGAAACTACGACCGAAACCGAAACTGCATTCGGAAGTTCCCGCGCTGTGATCGGTAATGTTCAGTGCCTAATCATGTCATGACTCGAGATTCACTTTGTGATTTACTTTGTTTATTACATAAATATTAAGTACCTATTGTGATATTAGGTAACAACCTAAATAAATAATTTTATGTTTAATATTCTTGAAAAACCATCAATAATATTCAAAAGAAGGATCTACATCTACTTAAATAATCACCTCACCTATTTTAAGTATTTTTAAGATGCAATTAATATTTTTTTCTTAAATAAGAGTGTGTTATGTTGATTATTAATAAGTAAAAATGTCGAAGACTACATAACGTTGTGTTGAAGATAAAAAAATTAAGACTGACTGGTTATAATAACGTTTTCTATATTTTTCCCTCAAAACATAATCCTTGTAAGGAAGTAAGCCAACCAGTCGTCTAACTATACACTGACAACTTTATTCAAGCGAATTTTGAGTAATGTACAAAGATTGCATGATTTTTTGTGAGAACCCTCACACAGACAACACACTCGATTTTAGTGGAGACCGCACATTGAAAAAGTAGATTATCTAATCACCAATACTCAAAAATTACAAGTGTGTTGCTAATATTAGGCAAAAGAAAACTAGTTTGATATATAATTTCAATTAACTTTTGGGTAATTGAGGTGGTTTCACAAATAAAAAAACACTAAATAGACTTTCATTTTTATTTAAACAAAATTTGTTTGTATTGTGGGAATTTCATCTGCAGTAGCCCCTAGGTTGGCGTGAGTCGTTAACTCTAAAACGTTGGTTTGATCCAAATTGTGGGATGAACAATGTTCGCCATGTATTGTCTGATATGTGCCAGGAATCACCTTGTGAAAGATGAGACGTCACTAATTCTCAGCTTGCACAAGTTTTGATAACTGGGGATTGTTGTTCGTAACTGGTTATAGATGGTTACCCCCGAAACTCAAGATTGCTAGGTTTTCTAACTGAAACTATAAAAATGTGGTTGGCTCCTGTTGGTAATCAAGTGTTGCCATTTGCGCGAGGGGATCGACGCAAACCGTTCCCGCCAAGAGAGTGTTTTAGCTGTATAGTAAGTAAGCTGTGCTTACAATATGACAGGTAGGTTCCGACAGTCACTGTAGCCAATCTAACAATAATGATATAGATAACTTCTGTCACAAAACACATCACAGAATCGACTTTTAGATTTTCTCTTCTTTAAATGCACATGATCATAGTCTCCACCAAATGCATTACGCTGATTCAACTGCTGCCGCTGCTCTAATCGCTGGCTATTGAGCACAACCCCATTTTTTAGAAACAATTATGGTGAAACTAATAGCTTTATCAATTATTATCACTCGCTCAGCGTTAGGAAATGATAAATACTGAGTTAACTCCTGCTTTATACTGACTTTTTCACAGATGATCACTTTTTTACAATTTCCACTAATTTCAGCCCAAGCGTAATGCGATCTTCCCTGACTGATGCGGAATATAGTTCTACTCCATCTAATCTCAAATTGATTTTATCAATATCAGAATCTAATTCTCCTCTGATGTTTGAGATGTAAAAAGCAACATATTCCTGATCAACACAATCCGTACTCTCTTCAGGCTCGGCTATATTTTTCAAACGTTTATTTTCCATATCAAAGTTTCCATCGGAAGTCAATTCAAAACCAACTCCGGGTTGTCCTCGCAAAACAGTATTTGAAACTGCCTTACTTCTGCGACCAAACTTATCGATGCTTCCACCATTCATTTTTGTGATACACTTATGACGATCGTCGATGTTGTGAATCAACATATAAGAAATGATGATCGTTATAGCCTAATCAATTCCAATTTAACTATTATTTTTTTCACCATTGAAATTGATTAGATTACCATTATCAACCAATATGCGTAAAGTGATATTGTCGGAGTACTTACGACCGCCAGGCTGGATTGGCATATAAATAATATTTTACGGTTCCTTGGTGAGTTTGTAACCGGGCTCTACATCAATATCAAATTCAAAGATGCTATGAATTTCATCACCATTTGAATATGCTCCAGCTGTGACATTACAATCCACACGAATAATTCTCGCCTTATTGATATTTACGGGCAATGTTGATTCATGAGTTTCATCGATGCCACTATTGCCGAACCCTAAAAGTTCGGCAATAGTGTTTTCATGTTTAAGATGGATGTAATATTTCGACCTCATTTCACATTTCAGAGTGTTGTTGTTTGCGTGTAGGAGAAATACTCCATTGATATTCTCGTCAGCTCCATTTTCCAATTGCATTTCTTTGGATTTGATGAATTTTTGAATCACCTTATTGATTTCATCAATTTCATATGCTCCGGGTGGAATTTTTATAATGATAGGAGGTGAGCTAGCCTCTTTAGAATAGGCGATAACATTATTTTTCATATCCACATTGAATATGAATAGGAATAGAAACCGTATAAGCCCAGACCATAATTAGCGCCACTATCCAATTCGATGGATGGGTAGAAGTTGGCGCTCAACTCGCTAGGTGTCCCGACAATGAAAACGTGCGTGACATGACTGATGAATTTTCACTTATTCATGTCTTTTTATTGTTGACAGCAGAAATTGTGGAGTAATCGTCGTTTTTCAGGTGGTCTGTCCATTATGTGTGACTACATTCACATCATTCACTTTACAATAACAACAGAAAATTTTTCTTGTAAGTGTCCCATCATTCACATCGGAATTATTGCTGTTGCCGCTGGAATTATTCTGATGGTCTACGCAGTACTGATACTTCAAGACATCAATATCATTTTGTAGATTTTGTGGTAACTTATCCCATGCAGATGCAATTTCATGCGATGCACACCCACTGTGTTGAATTGTTGTTTACGCTCATAGTTATATGTGATAATATTGATGGGATTTGAACCCCTATAAAAATAGTGAATCAATTCTTTTGGAGGGGGTAAATCACCAAAACTATCAAAATATATCACTGAAGTGTCAATTTTTCCGTATGCTAACCAATGTGTCCCTTGACCATGTCGGCTATCCAAATTTACTATGACAGATTCAAATCGGAGTGGTCCCGATTTTGGCAAATTGTCACGCATATATACCTCCCGAAAATATGGAATCATCATTTTCTTAGCATGTTAGTTGAGGTCGATGTTGGAGAGAGCTCTTTGAGGTAGCAAATCTATGAGTTTTTTGAAATTTGAGGTTTCAAATAGACTCCTAATCATTTACTCGCTTTCGCTGCTTGTACTGCTTTTGTTATGCCAGCTGTAGCACCACAATGCACATACTAAAGCAGAAGTACCAATTTTCCATCGATAATTTCGATGAAAAAGTGGGTGGCGGATCGGAAAGCGGTGTGAAACAACGTCATGGATCCTTACTTCCACTATCCATTCGTGGTCTGATTATTGGACCTTCCAATTGCGGCAAGACAAATGTTATGATTTCTTTACTGACTCACCCTCTAGGATTACGATTTGCAAATGTTTATTTTTATTCAAAGTCCCTTTATCAACCCAAATATGAGTATTTACGTGAAGTATTAGCTCCAATTGAAAGATTGGGATTTTACACTTTCGCCAATAATACAGCTGAAATAGTAGAGCCTTCAGATGCCAAAACCGACTCAATATTCATTTTCGATGATGTGATGTGTGACATAACAGGATGTTATACGATCATATTAGTAGATGTTTACAGCTGATTCTCGGCCTCCCCCCACCACTATGACGTATTAATTGCTTATTTTTGTTTGTTTAGTGAAATCAAGGTGATGTGATCTTGAAGTGTCTGGTGCATGGACCATTCAGAATTTTTTAGAGATTTTGTGTGCGTGTTTGTGACGTAATGACGTAATTGCATTTGGTTGTTGGAGCATATTTCAAAGATCATCCAAGTAATGAATGTTCCATCGGTGTGAGTCCACCAAGCGGTGTGATGTCACAGCAGGCAAGGTACGGGGTTTATCATGTGCATGTCTGTATACAAACATACGTCTGCATACTTCAAAGATCCTCCAAGTAATGGATGTTACATTGGTGTGAGCCCACCAAGTTAGTGGTGTGACAGCTGCAACCGTTCAGCAGTAGGAGAGCGAGATGTGCACTCCACGGCGTATGGCTGAGTAAGGAATATTCATCGGTATGTCCTCACCTCTGTCTCGACATCTGTCCTGTACGCAACGCGCAACGCTGTTTGTTCATATCGGCATCCGTTAATGTGTCCAACTTAGAGATTGAGTTGGTGCATGTAATTTCGTGCACTATTATTTCTAAGAGTTTCTCTATAGTTGGTAAAGTATTTATGGCCCTATAGTCAGACATTTCTATTGCGTTATTAATTTTAGGAATGGGCATTATAGTACTGAGTTTCAATTGGTTGGGAAAACTACCATTTGCAAGTGAAGTATTTATCAAGTTCAGGAAGACAATTCCACCAGTATAAAACGTTTCTCTCAAAAACCTGACACTAATTACTAATTAATAAACGAAGTATCTGAACGACAGCGCAGAGAAAAAATCTAATTATATACAAACTTGATGGGGATGATCAAGACACCGATCTGAACAAAACTATTAAAATCATCAAGACCATAGCACCAACTGTAGGCACCAGTGATATTACTACGTATCGAATTGGCCGAAGGAATGGGGCCAACCCTCCACTTTTGAAAGTAACGCTCAATAGTAAAGAAGATGTAATTACCATTCTGAAAAATAAGCGTAAACTGAAAGATCTCAAAATAAACATTCAAATCAGCACAGAAAAAAAAAAACTTCAAAGAGATTACCTGAAAAAGATATTGCAGGAATTGAACGAACGCAAGCAAAAGGGAAATGAAGATATATATATTAGATACATAAATGGTACTCCCACCATCGCCTCCTCAAAAAACTATTAGACTTCAAAATTGGTCAAATAAACATTCGTTCCTTAAATAATTGTTTTGATATATTCAAAGACATTATACTTGAATATGAGTTTGCAATTGTTGGTGTGACAGAATCATGGCTCAACCCAGAATTCCCAGATAAGTTTGTTTCAATTCCTCAATTCAACTTGGTACGGCTAGATCGCAACAGTAGAGGCGGAGGTGTTTGTATTTATCTAAAGTCCTCTCTCAAATATAAAGTGTATCACTCAGGCATCACTGCTAATGGCTTGGAACAGTTGTGGATCATCGTTCACTTAAATGAATATNAATAAGGGCACTTGAGATGACATCCTAGAAAAAAAGAAAAGTTTTCCCGAAATTTTTTCGCAAATGTAATCGCAATTAGCGTTCAGTGCTAGTGACTCATCTATTATGAACTCAGATACCCATTCAATCTTGTTATGATCAATGCTGAGTTGTAGGGACTCATAGTCCACATCCTTGTGTTTATGTCCATTATTGGGAATTATTGCTTAATTTTTTTGTATTCAATTTCAGTATATTAGTTGCTAGATATATTTCATATTTTTGTCATACTTGGTTCGTTTGAGTTATTGTTTGGTTAAGATCATTACCGTAACATGCAAACAATTCATCCACGACTAAATTCAGAAAATCATGACCTTGCACATAATTGAGATCATTCAAATATATTATAAAAAGCAGTGGTCCCAGCACACTGCCTTGAGGTACACCAAAATTATTAATTATTTCATTTGAATGAAAAGTCGCCTATTTCAGCTTTTTGAAATCTATTACTGAGATATTCTTTGACTTAACTCAATACTTTACTTTGAATGCCATAATATTTCAATTTATCTAGTGAAATTCCTCTGTCAATAGTCTCAAACGCTCTTTTGGAGTCAAAAAATACTACAACTACATATTAATAATCATCAGGTACCTTCTTCTATCCTGATTAGTTAATTTTAGGATACTTTCACATGGATGTTTTTCTCTGAAGCCGAATTGATTACCCATAAACAGATCATTCTTACTGAAGTACTCAGTTATTTAGTAGTGAATGAATATGTATTCTGTTTAACTCGTGTAATTTTGATGCTGAGGACTCTAATGAAGAATAGAAACAAGGGTTTTGTTTCAAGCACTTCAAAGAAGATTCAATGAGTTTCCAGAAAAATGCATTGTTTTTCAATTACTTCACTCTGAAACTTTACGAGTAAATAAGTAACAATTTTCAACAAGCTACTACTACGTTTGTATTGAGTTCTCGAACACCATTACTTTTGTTTTTTTAAGGCAATATTTTTTATTCGGAATAATGTTTTCTATAGAGTACTTACTTTTTGAGTAATTCGCGAAAAATTGTCTAAAAACGTTTTATTATTGGTTGGAAAATCTATACTTTCAATCGCAAAGTCGAAAAATATCGACATTCAGAAAAAATGTATTGAACAAAAGTTACTTGAAGTTACTCTGTCTATCCAATCTCTGATACAATGCAACATCTATCACCATCGAAAAGTGATGGCATCAACCCCCAGGATAAAAGCAACCCTCTGTACAGGGTCATCTGGAATCTGAATCCAAATTTTGAGCAAATCGAGGCTGTTTGGCTGAAAATAGTATCGGCATATTTTACTTTTATTGATTGGACTATAGCTGAAGGATCGTAAGTTGATAGCAGGGGGACTTCCGAGGATGTATAAGATTCTCAAGNGAACTTTCCAAAAACCAGTTTCACAGTTTTCACAGAGAAAAATTAGCTTTCTTTTCTTGAGTGCAAGACACTTAATTTCTGAAGCAGTCAAGCTACCACAGGGTCCACATAACAATGTTCTACAAGAGTCACAGGGAAAGAGTACTTGACTAGTTTCCTCAGTATCACATTTGGCACACTTTTTGGGATCCATTTATAGTATTTATTTTGGCTATAAGCTCCTGTACTATAAGAACACAGGTTTTTCAGATGTCTGTACGTTATCTCCACTTTTTTGTGATCTATCTTTTAATTGTTTTTAGTTCACAATTACTGATTTGTTATTGCCCCTAGATTGTTTTAAACAAATTAAATCAGTTAACACAAACTATTTTAGGTTGAATTATAACTCAGTTTATAGTTAGGCGATTTATCTTCCTTATGGTATGCAACAATTGTTTTAATTGAGAGTATTTAAACAGAGAAAAACTGTTTTATTGTACTGCACATTACACATTTGACACACAACACAATAGCTCCAGATCAAATAACTAAGAGAGAAAACAGCTGAATGCAATTATTTCAAAACGGAATCAATTTTTGTATTGATTAACGATTATGGAAAATAAAAATTGAAACTTACATAACAAATAGTTCCTCAATTTCATTCTTGATGGTGTCCGATATGTGTATGGAGTGGGTGGTTTCTATTATGGGTATGTACAATTTCACTGCCTTGAGGAGCTTCGACGTAACGTCACAAGAAGTGGTCGGTATGAGATCTTGCATGGTACGGGAAATCTGAATGATATTGTTCCAGAATTGGTCTGTATCTTTCCAAAATTCAGAGTTGAACCTCTTATCGTGATCGCTCTGCAATGAAAATAATTAATCTTCATACAGTTGCTTACTAAGAAAGAAAGGCTTCAGAAAATGTGGCTACTTGTTGTTATAATCTATATGCACTTTTAAATCACAATGGGACTACTTACCTTTAAGATAACTGAGGGAAAGTTTCTTTGTGCAATTATTATTAATTTTTTGTCAAGTTCTTACATGTACCTGTTTAAATATATTCATAAAAATACATAGTGAAATGAGTAAATCTTACCTGAATGGCGATAGTAGAGACATAGCGGATGACGTTGTCAGAAAAAGCGCTTCGCAGAGCAGACTCAAACAGCCCGACCTTGGCCGACCGAAAAGAACACTCGCTTATCTTACAAAGCAGCCTCAGGATCAGCACTATCACATCGTTGGAGACCTGTCTGGTTTCGAGCAGTTCCTTGAACCCCTTTCTGTCGTTACTCAAAGACAAGACGACTGCCTCGAGGTCTTCCTTCATGAGCAACTCCTGGAGGAATTTGAACCCCATCTGTCTGATCTTCCTCGGGTTCTGCTGGTCATCGTTTCTATGAGGGGGCCTTCGGTCTCCATCTCTGCTCTGGTGTTTTCTGTTTTTGGGGCGACCGGCACTGTCTGATTGATCATTTGAACTACTGGCGGACCTCGCGTGGAACGGATGAGGCCTGCGACCCCCTGGAAGCCCGCCGGTGGGTCGTTCGGCATTGCCATCCGTTGAACGATTCCTCCAATTTTCTGAAGCATAAAACACAGCGATTCAGTGAAAAAGTGATGATTCATTTATTGATTCCTCTGAATAACAGAAGATTTCAATTATTGGGAAAGGAAGTTTTTGGCTTTCTACTTACTACACCATCTTGATACAAAAAAAGTGGGAATCTTCCAAAGAAAGGAAAGATTCCCACTTTTTTTGTATCAAGATGGAGTAGTAGAAAGCCAAAAACTTTCTTTCCCAAAAATTAGTCACTCCTGAAAATATAACCCTTTCAATTCAAATTATTTTTAGAAAACTAAAAACTCAGTTATTCTCAAAGAAGAATTCCGATCTCTTCGTCGATCCATAAAAACAAAAATCAATTTAGCATACAGAGAATATGAAAATAAATAAGAAAGGTACATCAAAATTCCAAGTATTCTGTTCTGGGGCGATGTTGAATACAACATCAAATGGAAACTGTCAAAAATTTGCCCAATTTTCAAAGCTGGTGTCATAAACAATATCCAGAACTACCGACCTATAACCCTGTTATCCAACTTTGCAAAGGCTTTTCAGATGTGATTGTACAATAGAATATTTCCTGATGTTAAGAATTTAATTTCAAACAATCAACACGGTTTCTTTAGCAAAAGATCAACAATAACTAACTTAATGTGCTTCACACAATCAGTAAGTAATGCACTTAATAATAACCTACAAGTAGACACCGTCTACACAGATTTTTCGAAGGCGTTTGACAAGTTGGATCATAACATTCTTATCAATAAACTTCACCAATATGGATTCGACTCCCAACTCTTAAACCTTTTCCGCTCATACTTAACTGAATGTATCCTGTTCGTAGATTATAGAGGTCACAAATCGTTCCAATTTATTGCTAACAAGGAAGCAATTTAGCACCTCTTTCATTCTCACTCTTCATTAACGACAAAGGAAATAATCTCTCTAGAAATTTCTCTAGCAATTTCTTACTCTTTGCAGATGATTTGGAAATCTTTTGACCCATTACATCAGAAGAGGACTGCTTAATTTTACAAAAAGACCTTGACTTTTTGTACCTTTGGTGTATCAAAAATAGTCTTCTCTCAACATAAACAAATGTAAATACTCAAAATACACCCTTAAACATAATGTTGTTTCTCATGATTACTGCATAAGTAACACACCTCTTTAAATAATCAGTCATTGAAGGGATCTTGGTGTCACATTGCGACCCTAAACTGAGTTTCTCCATCCACTATGACACAATAACATGCTCAGCCAACAGATGCTAGGGCTCATCTATCATAACTGTAAAAACTTTTGTAGCAGAGAAAGTTTCAATGCATACGTCAAATCTCAGCTGGAATATGCCTCCCTTACATGGTCACCCATATAAAATGTCCATATAAACAAAATCGAGTATATACAAAGAGGCTTCATGAAATATATTACTTACAAGCTAGAAGGAGTTTACCCTGAACAAGGCATCGACAACAGAATACTACTGAATGAATTTAATCTTTTATCCCTTCAAAACCGAAGAACCTACTACTCTATAATTTTCATTTATAAACTAGTGAATAATCTGATTGACTGTCCCGAACTACTCTCCCACTTCAACTTTCATGTTCCACGAATTCATTCTAGAAATGAGAGGTCTTTTCATCTGCCAAATTCTAGAACAAACATATTACTCAAGTCACTACTTAGTTGTTGCAATGAACAAACTCAACAATCAACTCTGTGAAAATCTCAACATTTATTATGAACCTATTGGTTAAGTTAAGAACCATGCTAAGAAACTTCTATACTCTAGTCAAAATACATGAGCCTAACTTGAAAGTTACTCTAGCATGTGAGCTTATTACTACTACTGTAATACAGTTAATTATGTTTTTTTGTAATACACTTGAACTATGTTTTTACTTGTTAGCTCTACATCTGACATGTTTTTTTTAATTAGTTTCCTAGCTTGCTGCACCCAAGTTTTTTACCTAATTTTTTGCTTTACTCTCCTAAATGCTTCCTTTATTTTGTTTTATTGTTAACTCTCTTCAGGTGTTTCTAGATCATGAATTAGTATTGTATTCATATATATGTATATATGTGTATATATAAATATGTATATATAGGCAGATATAAAACTGTAACATGCTTGCTAATAATATTAATATGTCTTGTTATTGGGATTTATTCCTGTTTAGAAATTAAACAATTTTTTTATTATTATATTTATACAAGCATGATGTTGATACAGCAAGATCCTAGAGGTAAAAGAATAGTCGTAAAACGTTGTCATTCTGTAATTTTACCAAAAGATTACACCAATAAATTTCAAGCCATGTTGAAAAACTCCATCAAACGAGCCACATCCTTCATCATAACTGAACAGAGACACTCAGGGCCGGATTTGGAAGTCTGAAGGCCCTGGGGCAACGATGGAGTGGGGGCCCCTAATTATTAATCATTTTTCGGATTGTTTTACCTATTTTAGTTCTTTTCAACTCATGGGTACAAATTACACATTTGAAGAAAGTATTGCCCATGAAAAGCTTGATCAAATCAAAAACTGATAGTAAATGGAAACTTGCAACTAGGGCTTTCTGATATATCGAAAACAATATTATGTTTGTGCAAGTATTCTTAGTGAAAACGCAAACAAAAATTTTTGGGAGGAAAAACGTAAAAGTTACTGACCCGTCGAAATGTAGATACATTGTAAGCTTTTTTGTAGAGGCCCCGGGACAGTCCCTAAATCCGGCCCTGGATAAATTATATCTGTCCCACATACTCCGCAACTACTCATTCATTAAACTTCATAAATAGTCCAGTCACCTTAGTCCACCTTAGAAATTGAGACACCCAGCTATAAACTCGTATAAACTTGTATTTTGACCTTGTTAAAGTTGTGTCAAAACCTACATATGGTAGGTTGTACAAGACTATTAAAATCTAAGGTCAAAGGTAACAAAAATCGATTTTTTGCACATTTTTTGCAAATATCTCGTTTACTATGGGTTTTCCGCTATTTGTATTCATGATCATTATTATAGAGGATTAAATTCCCTACAAGTTATGTTTCAAACATTTTTTTATACGTTGAATCGTTATGGAGATAGAGGGCGGAAAGCGCGCGGTTAGAGCATAATTTGAGGTCAGCCGGTAGTTCCGGTCAAAAACACGCCACATAAAGTTAAAAAAGGGAAAAAACCTTTTTAAAAGCATTTGAGAAACTGCCGAATTTATATCAACTTGCATTAGCATTTGAAGAAGAGAACTCTCCTGGAATGGAATTGTACAGGATGTAATGAAAGACTTTTATAAAATTAAAAGTTACTCCCAAAGTCTATCACTATGTAGTTTCTCTAATATAACGTCCTGGAAAACTCTGACGTGAAGTTTATTTTGTCGGTCATCAGAAATAACGTATCTCAATATTGTAGGTGTACACATTCTATTTTTGATTATACGATTTTTAAAATGTTACACCCCATTTCCACCTTCTCCGACGGCCTGAAAAACTATGGAGTGAAATTTTTTATTGATACGGCGAATAACATCTTAGTTCGGCTTAAAAGTAAGGCTTGTTTTTCACTAAGTCAGTCAATAAGTATATCATACATTCGTTAATTGAAAAAAATAATTCAATTTTTTTCTCAGTGTACTTTGTGGATGTGTATACCTAGAAACAAATTGAAAACCTTAATTTTGAAAAAATGCCATGCCCTCCGGTCTTTCTCCCGGCAGTGAAAATTTTTATATGGACAACACCCCTGTGTCAGTTGTATGAAAACCGTGGATAACACTCCCTTGGGGCAGAAGCAAGTCCCTATAACAGATTTAAATTGTCCCATTTGCAAGTTTATGCAACAAATGTCGACTTCGATTCTGGGCACTGACCGGCGGATCATTTGACACTCCATATAGATGCAATTAGCCACAGCCAGCATTCGGCTGTGAACTAGCTAAAATATTTGGTTATAAATTTAGAGGCTTACAAAACGGTGTCGAAAACAAGTTATATCAATAGTAATTTCAGAAAACTCACCTCTCTTGCCTCGCCCTCCTCGATTTCCAGAAGTATTCCTGCATCGATTTTCGCCGGAGGATTTTTTGGAATTCGACATACTGCAGCAGAAATTCCGTCTAGATGTACACTATCCACTATCCCGAAGGTTTTATTAGTCTGTTTGTGTTGATTGTAAAATGATTAACATTTCTTTGTCGACTTTTTTGCAAACTACGATTCCAAAAGTCAAGATACACGTCAGGACTCACAATTCACAATGCAGTTTGCATGAAATCTATTCAATGTTACTTAACAATTGCAAACATCTGCCATTGGTGGAAATACGTTAAAATTTTGCATTCGGAATCCTATAACAAACAATATTTCCTTCAAAACATTCCGGATAACGTTTGTGAACATTGCAAAAGATAACTAACATCCGATTCAAAGTATATATTCAACGCGTTTTCGAGAATATAGAAAAGATCAACGTATATGGAATGAAGTATCCCAGTAAACTCGTTCTGGGGGGATTCACAGAGAATAGAAATCGATCTAAAAACAGTTCACGTGATTCACAAAGAGAAATATGAGAGAAGTTACAATTTTATTCTAGAATTTTCGATATACGATGCGGTAACATTATTCCAGAAAGAGGAGAGTGTCGTTTGTTTTTATTTGAAGTAACCTTGAAACCATTGGCGTAGACAGCAAACAAATCACATAAAAACATAGGCTTTCACAGCGGGTGTCACGATTAAAGAGAGCAAAATCCAAGCTGATAGGTCGTGATCGAACGGTACTTGTAATAAAAAAAACGTTTCGTCTGCTACTGCGGCAGACATCATCAGTGGTATGTACGTTTACTGCGAGTGCGAAGTTTATATCTCGAAGTCTCAGCAACGAAATATTGCTACAGTTATAAGTGTAAATTACAGTTGTAAGTGTGAATTTGTTAGTTAACAGTTCTAGCTGTGAATTCACAAGTAACTGTAGATTTACTGTTATAATTGTGATATGCGTGACAAAATTCGGTTTTTCAGTAGTTCGTATTCCAATAGGATGCAATACTGCACATAAAAACAAGGTTAGCGAAACCTGCGGTGTTATGACAGAAACAAAACACACAGCCGGACCTGCAAGAGTTAAAGCTCGTGTAACGACATACGTGATTTGGACGGTCAACAAAATACTATTTTAATCTGTGCATTTATCAAGATGCATAGAACGTGTAGTATACATTTCACTGGAATTGAATAATAACCCGGTTGTGATCACTTGGAGGTCTTTCTCGAGATAAAGAGATCCATTAAATTTCAGCTTTCCATTCACAGAAGTACTGAGTACACCTCAAACGACACTGCTTGACAATGTCAAGTGTGCCCTTTAATTTTCAACCTTGTTTACATTTGGGAATTCATTGATATCGAGTGAAAGCATTTTTTACATATGGCATGTAAATTAAAGATCTGAAAAAATACGCACGACAGATTTCGATTTTTGCACCATCTATCAACAATATCAACATGGATGCAAAGTAGGGCAATTTCTTGCGTCAAGAATTTTCGACCAAAACAAAGTAGATCTTTGAGAATACCAATGTTTCGATGTATCTTGCTGTTCGTCTCAGTCGTTAACACACCGTGACTCCTGTTCCAAACTGAATCTACATCCGAGTTGACTCCCGAACGACCGGTTCATGCTTCTTACGTCATCGAAATAACTTTGTTACACCTTCAAATAAGATTTTTTACTAGTATCTTACGTCTTACCAGTTATGTTAAAAGCCTTATCTGCCTAGTGGCAGGGTAGCTTTTTAAAACTTTATTTATATGGAGGGTAGAGGTAATTGGAAAAGCGTCCCTGTTTGTGAAAAAGTGTCCGTTAATATGTGTTAAATAAGGGTTGCGCTACAGTAACAACAGGGTAAATTTTAAAAAGTAAAAGAAAGTTATTAGAATAGGATAGAGAAATAAAAAAGGACTAAAGAACTTCCGTTTCGTTATGGCGCACTTTTCAAAATAAGAAATACATTTTTCAATTGACGCCCACTGGACAACTTTTCACTACGCAAATTTTGTCCTTTATTGCTTAACATTTATCACAATGTATTATAACAGTTAGTACTACAAAATCACAAAAAGTATTATTTAAAGCTGATGAGAAAATTCAATCGATGTCTCCACGTTTATTTAATCTGTGGTTTTACCACAGCAATTGCTTTTAGGTTATATTGACGAAATTAGTTTGGACTACCTAAACATGTGAGGTCTTGTATATTATTACACTGTCACTAATTACTCTAGTCATTAAATGTATTGAATTTCTTAACTCAGTATACTTATTCATATCGTACCCTCCTGTTCATATGCTAGCGCCATTCTGGAGGGTTTTTGAACTGCTATTTACTGCTGAAAGTTGGACACTTTTTCAAGCTTCCTCTCATATTAGACGACCTCCTTACCTCTACTTTCCATAGTCTAAATGCTCGTCTGTCTAAAATGCTCTCGCGCATCCTATGGAGAGTAGATGTAAAGAGAACCGTATCTATTTCATATATAGACTATCGTATCTGTTTATCACGAAGTACCCTTACAAATTCATTAAATTAGGGAGGCGCCACTGTATCAAGAGTGTACATTACAAATGATCAACTCAAATCTTAGAAAATATTAAACATTCGAACTCAGCATACTTTACGTTCTCTATAATTGCCAAATTCATATCAAACCACTCTTGATATTAGCCCCATCTTGGTCGAATTTTGAACTATAACTTATCGTTTCACTTAACTTGCATAGCGCATCCTATCGTTTGAGGTGATTTCGGTTTTTAAAATCTTGAACCGAGCGAACAGAGGATAATTTGATACCGCTTGATCATTGAGTCAATGGAGCAAAATATATCCAACGAACGTTCAACTTTATCTGAATGACAAGTCGACATTTGTGGTATCATTTGTCAACACAAAATGTTCGATGAAGCTTTTCTTCTACAATGGCACTGTATTTTTTAAGTGGAAAATTTGTTTAGTTTGCGTTGGCAACACTGTAAACAATCGGAGGATTATGATTATTTCTCCTCACTTTTGGCAGAAACAGGAGAGATGAGTTTAGAATTCAGACGAGAATGGCTTGCAACTAAATTCGTTATAAATAGAATTGATCACCATCCTCCCGTTATACATTTGTTAAAGATATTACATGATCTTTGTAAAAGCAAACAAGGATACTGGAGGAACAGAGAGTTCCCTTATTTAGTTACAGCACTAGACAAAATCACACCGTACACAAAGNAGTTACTCCTGAAGATTGAAATTGCAAAAACATGACTCCTCAAGTCGCATCAATGTCAAACACTTCGTAGCGAACAATCTTGATCATATTTTTGTATATACGGATGCGTCCAAAATGAAAGATAAAGTAGGGATAGGAATTCATATACCGCAAAAGAATATCTCGTTTGCCGCACGACTCAATAGCCTTACAGAACTTGCAGAACTCACTGCAATTCATCGAGGAATGATGATGTGCTTAGAAAATAATTTCAACAATAATGTTATACTCTCAGACTCTAAAAGTGCATTGGAAAAAATTTCCACAAGTACTATTACAGCTCGCAGCGATTACATAAGTCTGACAATAAAACAAATGGCATACTTACCGTCATTAAATGAGGTTTCATTTAAATTTGTTTGGATCCCCGGTCACTCTAAAATAGATGGTAATGAAAAAGCAGATATACCAGCCAAAGTTGGCACATCTCTTAGTGTTCCACTGAATATTAAGTTGAATAAACACAGTCTGTTGCCCATCTTCAAACAACGAATAAAAGATGCTATCCATCAGGTCTGGAAGCGGGACGTACAATCCAAAGGTAAATTCTATTACCAAATCCATTCAGAGTACCCTAAAAACACCTGATATCTTGAGTACCCTTATATGGATAGGCGACATATTACCACGATAATACGGATGAAAACGGGACATTGTGTACACAAAGAACATCTATTCAGATTCCTGGAATGTCCGATCAATAAGATCCCGAACAAAGACTTGTACAATTATCTTATCCTTAAGGGCGTTGCTGCCCCCATGAGTATCACAACAATTTTACATGGTTTAAATCTTCCTATATTGAAAATATTAACTCATTTTATAGACCACAACAAACTCAAACTATGATGCTCCATATTTCATTTCAGTTTCATTCATGTCCATCCCAGTTACAACTAAAATCATTCCTATTGTTAGTACTATCTGTTTTTGAGCCCACTTATCCTTAGCACACGAAGATACACAGATACAAGTCTCCGAAGAACGAATATACTCCAAGAAACAATATGGATAACAGTATGGGTAACAGGGTGGTAGTGTAAGCAGTGTAAATGTTACTGACAGCCCCCAGTCTAGAGGGGGACAAGCCAAGGGCTATGCCCCGGGTGGCAAGTTCACAGGACTACCAAATTTACACTTTATAAACGAATGGATAAGTCATCCTTTACTTTGACACTCACTAGCCACAAACATTATTATTCGCGAGGCGCATAGACATAGTTCAAAATACGCGTCCTCTCGCCCGCAGGAATCACAGATCTTTACGAAACTGCAGCTGCATGAACAGGTGTTTGAGTTTGCTGAATAAGAAGGAAACATTCCCGTTCCCGTTCATCATTAAACCTCGTTTTTGAAATTTTTTCGTCATGAACAACACTTGTAAAATGCTATTCATGTAGTGTTTCCTAAATAATCCAATCCAATTGTCTTCTCTAGATTTTCAGAACAACTCTCTACTGATTCGTAAGGAAGAACACGTTTCACAGAATCTCCATAAAAACCATTTCTCAAGCTGCAATCGATCCTTCCAAGTGAAGAAGGGTTTCGTAGAGGGATCGATTCGGCTTTTGCTACATGAAGTTCTTCCACTGAAAGGGAACCAGAACTACGAGGACTGCAAATCATATTTGGGGGGCAAGAATGACCTAAGTCCATTGACCGCACTGAAAAAGAAGAAGGTGGATCAATCACTTGTGAATTAACCTTGATAGGAGACTTATGAATATCCACATATCTCGGCTTGTTTCGAAGAGATTTCAGTTCCGTACTGAAATTAGGGCAATGCATGATCTCATCAAAATTATGCGAAGGAGGAATAGTTCCAAGGACCGAAGCAGCATTGCCACGTTAAATAGCAATACTAATTCTAACGTATTCTAAAAACACTTTATTGTGTGATTTTCACTAGATAGTTTTACAAAAACGCAACACGTGTTTCGCCATACAATGGCTTCCTCGGGCGTGTCATTAAGACACGCCCTAGGTTGGTTCAAGTAAGTTAACGTGCTGTAATTTTTGTCGTTGACTTGACTTGATTGTGAAAAAATGTTGGCAGTAAAGACAGTAAAGTTTTTTGAACTTTGAACATTTCCGTATCGCTAATGAAAATGCATGCAGCAGTTGCAGACAAAACGGCAGACCTCAAAACTGTAGATCAGTGTTTCCCAATGTTTTTTAGGCCATGCCCCACCTTAACATTTCTGAAATTTGTATGCCCCCCATACATAATTTTGAACCTTTAAAAATTGTTTTGTTATCTTAAGAAATATAAATGATGAGTTTTAGGAATAAATCACTATGAAATTGTTATCATAATATCGTGAGTGAAATTTCAAAACATATAATGAAAAACAGAAATTCAAAATAATTTCAATATTGATTTTTCTATATCATTTAGTGCGATATTTGCGCTTGATGCTTGCTGCACAGAGGTTTTATATTTGAATCCAATTTACATAGATTCAATATCCACGTTGTGTTATATCAAGTCGATTTCTTTTTTCATCAGTAAATCATTTACAGCACTTAATCCATATTCAGCTAAATATAAAGATAAAAACGGCAGTAAAAGTTTTCTTGAACATTTGGTTGCTTTGGGTATTCAGTTTCAGTTTCTTTAAAAAGCCATGGCATCGTTCCTTTTATAATAAATAAAGTTTTTGCTGATTCTTCAGTTGGCAATTCTGCGAGTTCTTCTTGCTACTGCATATTTGATATATCAGACAAATCTACTAATATTGGCTCCATCATACATGTTGGGAAATCAGAAAATCTTTTTTTTTAATCAGCGCAAATAATATTCAAATGATTGACAATAACAAGTGAAGCGGTATCAGAGTTACTTCACATTTTTGGAGCCAATGAAACTGTTCAAAGTTTTTGTTATTAATACGGCAGACCTCAAAACTGTAGACTAGTGTTGACCAAAGCTAAGAAACCAAAAAACTGCAATCTTTTTTATTGAATTGAGTTCTTCATTTATTTTCTACAAAAGTGTAGAAGGGCCACATATTTTTATTTTTTTTTATTGAAAATTTCGACTTAGAAACTTTTGGCTTCAAATTTTCGGCTTCAAATTCGAAATTCCGATTTTATTCTCGAAATTTCAACTACAAACTAAAATGTATGACTTCAATTTCGAAATTACGATGGTCACGAAAAATCCTGTTCATTATTATTGTTAATGTCAAGTCTGAAAATTCAATGAATCATTTTCTTTCATCTCCATTAGTAAATGTGATGCAAGACCTTCACATAAAATATGTAGCAATTCTGCGCATCAACTCTTGACAAGTTTATTCTAATCAGCCCATTTTTTATTACTTTTTGTGTGACAGACTCATCCAGTTCATCAAAAGTCTAGATACCTTCTTTTAGATGAGATTTTTTCGATGGTGGAAGACACTTAAGTTCTGAATTGTTAACGAATATTTCACCAGAATATCCCGGAACATAGAGGAAATTTTCAAGTCTCTTCCTGAAATATTCGTCAGTTAGAAAACACTCTGTATACCCACTACTCAACGCTACGACTTCGTGAAACATAAAATTTCCAGAATTCATGAATTATTCATTCAATGGGACAGAAAAGTTTTGGCTTTCTATTTTCCCATGTTTAAATACAAAAAAATGAGGGAATCTTCCAAAGAAAGGAAGGAAGAAATCAATTTCAAAATGAACTCTTTTTAAAGATGTGTAGATCATGCCAAGAAGTAACTTCCAGACACAAACTCGCAACAACTACTTTCATATAAACATTGAATTTCACGAAAGAAAAAATACTATCGATACAACAATTTTTTAATGAAATTTCAGTAGCCAGTTTGTACTCCAACCGTTATGGAATTGAATCAGATATTATTCATAGGATTGCTACACAATTTGTTTATTCAACTTTTGCAAGAACTTTTTCAATTACCCACGTAAAAGCTCGATTGAGACTGTACAAACAGTTTCCCCAAAGCCCTATTTAAAATAATTTACCAAATAAACATTTCAACAAACTAATTCCACAGTTACTTGTTTAAAGCTTTCAGCGTTGAATATTTTAAACATTCTCTCAAGGGCCCCGTTTGGCATTCAATCACAATCATCCATTTCTGAATTAGAATTCAGGAGAAATTGTTGACTTCGATAAAATAATTGTAAACAAATGCATTTGCGACACGTAATTCCATGGTCGACTTGTTCAAAATAATAGCTGGCTGTTATAATGGGACGCATAATGGGACTTTTGCCATGAAATGCTATTTTGCAATCTAAAAGTCAAATGAGGTATGTGATAAAGTCACATGGGGATAAACAAGTGATTTTTTGACATAACAAAATGTTGTACTGTTGTACAGCATGAAAACAAAAAAGTATCGTCATACTATCAATGCTCAAATCAGTTGAGCAGAAATTCTACCGGTATTTAGGACCAAAACTCTACAGTTTTCTTCCTGAAAATTTAAGATTCAAATCAAATGTCAAGAAATTTATGATAATTTCAAATTATTTGTTATGGATATACCTACCACTAGCAGAGATACATAGACAAATATAAATTTAAATACTCACTTCCTTGGTTGTAAATATGTATTGTGTATCAATTTGATTTTAGTCTGGAACCATTATGATTGAAATCACCTTCATTTTATAATTCTACTTTATTTTACAATGGTTCATTTCTGTCATGGGTACATAACCACTGATTGTTTTCATTTATTTATTTTCTGTTCAAATGTGACCAGTTCAAGCTTATATTTCAATACATTGATTATTTTATTTTATTTATATTCTGTCACAGGTATATAGTTCAAACTTATATTTTTATCCATATTTAGTACTCATTCAACAGATTGGTTTATTCTTAATTATTCATATTCTGTTCAAATATGTCCAGTTAAAACTTATATTTTCATTTATATCTAGTACTTATTCCAGTACATTGATTTGTTTTATTTATTTATATTCTGTTCAAATGTAGCTATTTCACATGTATATCTTAGTAAGTAAAAGTGAATAAATAGATATTTTCATTTATATCTAGTACTTATTCCAGTACATTGATTTGTTTTATTTATTTATATTCTGTTCAAATGTAGCTATTTCACATGTATATCTTAGTAAGTAAAAGTGAATAAATAGATATTATTATTATTATGTAATCACCGTTCATGTCTTCAGAGGAAAAGCTATAGGTATTCGATATTATTGTTTGTACTCGAATTAGAGGAGATTTGTGTATATTTGGGCATCCAAAACAAATACTGTTCCAAAACACTGCAACACTCACTTTGACGCGCGCTTCATCAACCAAGTTGGCGTCTTCAGAAGAGTGCTGCAGTTTTGGTGTTTGGAAACAGTGCTAGTTTCGGATTCATTCAACTCTAGAGAGGATCTAGTTCTACCTTCAATATTTGGACATAATAATGAAAAACGGAAAAACAAGGGGAACGAAGATGTCTTGTACACGTCAACAAACTTATCTTACATTTTATTTTCTTCAAAAAGACTATGTGAGTCTCTGAATTCATCAAGAATATAGTCAGAAATCAG